CTCCTTAGAAAACTTTTTCAAAACCCAACTCTCATGCCATTAGAAAGAGGATCATGAAAAACCTATAAAAAAAATGGTTCATGAAATTTTAGTTCACTCATAAAGCTAAAGTCCGCCTGCTCTAGCAAAAAATGCCCACTGTGGTACGTAGATTACGAATATAGTATTGGTTTTGAGTAGAAATTCTAAAAATTTCGCTCGATTCCTGAGGGGGACCAAGGGCAAGAAGTTATGACGAAAAAACGTTTTTTCAGAAAATCACATCATTTGATTTGGCTTTGTACGTCTATTATGAATATCATATTTATTTTTAATACAAACTTTGTATGGTTGCGAAAATGATATGAATTTATATTTATTAAGAGATTAAGAATGTTTGATGACATTCATTGGTCAAGCGCTTAGCGAATAATAAATGGAAAATGACCGCGGGGGGAGGGGGGAAAGGAAGTGAGGGTGAGTGGAGAAAGGTTTTTCAATTAAAAGTAGCTGCTTACAAAACGTTATTAAAAATATATGATATTCATAATCTAGGTACAAAGCCAGGCCAAATGATGTGATTTGCTGAAAAACGTTTTTTCGTCATAACTTCTTGCCCTTGGTCCCCCTCAGGAATCGAGCGAAATTTTTAGAATTTCTATTCAAAACCAATACTATATTCGTAATCTACGTACGAAACTGAGTTCAATGATGTATATTTTGCAGAAAAAAAATTTTCTCAAAAATTTGTGCCTTTGGTCCCCCTAAGGCACTAATGAGAGTAAATTGAATTTTTTGTGGGTTTTCGAGTGTTTGCCGCCAAGTTTCTTTCCTCAATTTATAGGTTTTAAGTGATGCTCTTTACGATGGAATAGTCAAAATCTGGATGCCTTAAGTTCCCCATAAAGTGAACTTATACCAGAAGAAGTGAAGATGTAATTATAAGGAACCTGCTGTCGGATTGACCGACAAATTTTGCATTTGGCGCTCAATTTTTATCCAATTTGTTCAGCGCGAAGCAAGCACCAAATTTTCTAATGCAATTCGAAGATATAGGAAACTTTTCCCACTATTTAAAAAAATCCCAGTCAAAAACATTTTTTCACAAAAGTTTTACAAAGATTACAGTTCAACCGTCCGATTTCCATTCCTGACTGTTCGTGTAAGATCTTAATGAACTATCAACAAGTCTTTAAACATTGTATAGATATAATCTTTCTTTTATAATACTTTTTCACTCCTGTGTCTCGATAAAAATGAGTGTTTTCCAGTTCAGCATTCGAAACAATATACATTGTTAATTCAGACTTTGGATGATTAACGACCTTTTCACAATATAAGAAATCGAAAAAGGTTAGATACGAAAGAAACTTATTTATTTAGTCTTGATATAGATATTTCACTTTTGTGAAGAGGGAATGGTCCTTTCTTCTTTGATCATCGTTTGTTATGAACATTAATAGAAAATAAGAATTCAGTAAAACACATGAAAAATCATCTGTAAAGGAGAAAAGCACTCTTTCACGTACTCCCACAGAAAAAGAGACAAAAACTGAAACAGAGATAATATAAGTTACAAGAAGGTGGCGAATCTTAGATTGATAGTAAAGAACTTTCTACCCTGTCGACCCTCGTCGCTTTCTAAAAACTTTTCTCCTGCTCCCTGACCGTCGACTCCCGTCGGTTTCTCCCGCCCAGCTCCGCCCTGTACCTATTCTGTCCCGTGCCCCGTCGACTACCGAAGAAAAAGTCCCTGCTCCACCGCCGAATCCCGTGGGTTTCCGTGCCCGCGCATTCCTTTAAGCTACTTTAAGAATAAACGAGATCTCGTGTGCCGAGTATTTCATTCAATTTGTTCATTATTGTGTTGCATGAGTAAATGTCGAAATGTCTGTGAGTCAATGAATAAGACCAAATAGTCATACAAAAAGGAGGCAAATGGGTTTTTCTCATCTTAGAATTTCACAAGATTAAAGAGCAATAAAACCATAGTTACATGATAGCACTGTGTAAAGAATGGTTTTAAAAGCACACACAAATAAACAGACATTCTTGGACTTTCTAGACTCTAGCTTATTCAATTAGACAATCCTTATACTTCAAAAAATGAGCGAAAATACATTGAAAATTTACGTCACGGATTTAAGTATACACAGGTTACCGATACAAACACCGACGTTACTGATCCAAGCACAGAGAATTTGGAATTACTTACCATTCCGCAAAGCTTAGACCTAACGGTCTTGGGAATATATTGAACAAAAACTAACCTAATTCTATTGTAATTATTTGTTTTATTCTTTATTCTTTTAGTTCTCAGATGAAAACAACTGTTATGGAGCAAAATGCGCGCTCATAAGATGGAGAGAGACTCCTTCTGTTATAATAGTAGTGCATTTGCCCGATAAGCAGAAGGTGCGTCGTTCAAGTCCTGCGAAGGGATCGTATTTTTCTCCGTTTTGTTGTATTTTATCTAGCTCCTATCTCGACTCATTTCCAACTTTACATAATGAAACTTGCTTCGGTAACTTCGTGCTGACAAAAGGGACATTTTCAACCAAAATTTGAAGCAATAAAAAATAAAATGTTGGATTTTCGGACGTTCGACGCCGCCGGACCTCCCTTGTCTTGGTTTTGCCCACCCCCTTTTAGTCCGACGTCTTTCTTGGATGCTCCTGAAGACGATTGAAATCAATTTCTCTCACAGGCTTACCGTTTTATACATTTCAAACTAGAATACTCGAAATGTTGAGTAGTTTCAACCACCAATTAGTCAGTCTGAAGATTGAATTCATGAATATGCGAGACCATGGAAGTGATACTATCGCTCAAATTGTTCAATCCTTCGCATATCTACTGACAAGAGTTACCTTTGCTAAAATATTTAGCATTAGGCGGTTCCGATGATATCGATCTAATGAAATACATGAATTCGACTATTATCAATAATACTGTTGTAAGTTTGACAATTTCAACTAATCATGGACGATGAATACCATTACTGTATCGATTTGAAAAATTAAAAATACTCACAATTGATTTTCATTCAATCAGTTGGAGGAAAAGTGCGACACCATGGCGCATTATGGAAGTCAAACACACGAGAAATTATCGTTGGATTACCCTTTTCGACTACGTCACATCAAAGTTTATCAATACAATATGATATTGGAAAATGTTGAACAATTGTTTCAAGTCTTAATTTCACCAACTTTATTAACTCTGAGCTTATTTAATTGTCAACGTTCTAAGACGAGATATCCCCTACCAAGGAGGCAACCTCCGTTTCTCGATGGTACACAATGGCATGACTTTATGAAAAATTATTTGCCATCAACAATGAAACGAGGCATTTATGTATAGTATAGCTAGTAACATGTGAGTGATCACTTGTAAAGACTATTTAAATATATACATAAGTGTACGGCCTTCATACGAATGTATCATCATAACTCGTAGTTTCCTTTCGCACAATTTAGTGCAATGGGAAAATGCGTAGTTGGAGAAATACAGGGTATGAAAGGTCGAAAGATCGAATCCAGGAGAAGAACACCTTAAAATTGTTCTATATAATTTTAATGTTTTAGTTTTAATTGTTTAATTTTTATTTTTATTATTTGATTAAAACTTTTTATTAAAATTCTTAACATGATAGCCGCATTAGTTTTAAAATTTTTATTCTTAACTTTGCCCATAAACTCGAAAAACGTTATTTAAACAAATAGTTATATTGATTCTTAAAATTCTCCAGACCTGTGGCTTTTTTATTAGCAAGAAAGTTATACAGACCATTGTGGTGCAAGTTAAATTGTAAGGGGACTTGCTTTGAATTTACATTTGTATCTGTCCAAGTAATAATTCTTCCTCTACTCTAGCAATCCATTTTCGAACTTCTACAACAGTTCGATTATCACTCGGTAGAGTTTTCAAATTAACTTCCATTGATTTTTTCATATATTCCAAAGCTTCTTTCACCTGACCATCTTTGTACAGTGCCAAAGACAAATTATTGTAGGTTTTAGCTAAATCTGGATGATAGGGTGGTAGTGTTTGAAGACTTATTTCAAGTGCTTTATTCAAATATTCAATTGCTATTTTATAATCACCCTGTGCTCGATATACCTGTGAAATATTACTGTAACTATTTGCAATTGCTGGGCGATTGAGGTTAAGTAAATCCAGTTGAATAGTAAGACATTTTTCATACATTTCTAATGCTTCTGAGTAACGCTGTTGCTCAGCGTATACCATTCCAATATTATTATAATCAATTGCAATGCTACTCTGATGTGGTGTTGGAGTATGAAGATCGAGTTCTAATGCTAGATTAAAATATTCTAATGCAGTGTCATAATCATTTTTATATTTATAGTAAAGTGACCCTATATTAGTATATGTCACAGTTAAGTTATTTTCGAGAGCTTCACCACTTCGTTTGCGGTCTAAGGCCATATCAACTACTTTTTTGTAGTAGTCAATTGCTTTATCAACGTTTTCTAATTTATCGTAGATCATTCCAAGATTATTATATACCGAAGATAATGCTGTCCGATTGTCTTTAATAGCTGTCTCATTCAGTGCTAATTGATAAAATCGTTCACTTTTATCATACAGACCCATTTTAAACATTAAGTGTCCCATGTTGAATAAAGGAACTGATGTACTTAAACTATTTCTCATTTGTGAAATTAGATAACGAAGTTCCTTATCTTCATCGTCATTAAGTGTTAGGCTAATTAGAAAACTTCCACTAATATGTTGTTCAATTGATTTGATACGAAATACAGTTCCTATTGTAAATATGATTTCTTGTTCATGTTTGAACTCACTTTGATGGCTGACATTTGTAAATGGTGTTTTACATTTCTTAATATCGACTTCTATCTGTAGAATAACGCTAACTGTATTCAACTTTTCAAGTGAATCCCTTGCAAAACTTAGTGCAATGTTCTTGTCATTACTTGTGGAAAGAAAACTTGTTACAGACATGAATCCGCCGACGTTTAAACTTTGATACTCCCGACATCTTGTATACGTAAGGCTTTGTTCAACAGACGATAGAGAAAAGTGTCACGTGTATACCACCAAATTGCCCTTGTCGAATCACGGTAACTAGATTCAAATTGATTTATAATAAGTAGCTGTGCTGCATCATTAGCATATTCTCTTCGACAGAATTCAATCATTTCCCGTTTACTTTCGTCTGTGGACGGCATTTCTAATAGAATATCTCTAAACAGTTGCGCATACATGAACGTTGGTTCCTGTCTAGCTTCATCTTCTCTCCCTACATATCGCTTAATTTCTTTAGACAGAGCAAGCGATGAACGTATTATATCTTTTCTTAACTGATCACATATTTGAAGAATATCAGTAAAGACACCACGAACTTTATCGTCGTTGTCGAACAACAACTTTTTGTTTTCGTCCGTATCTTTTTGTTTTTGAGAGCAAAATATATGTATGGCACCAAGTTGAGTTAGACGAGAAAGTGCAGGAATAACACGTGTAAGCCAATAGCTGCAACCCGAAACAATAATGAATAGTTCCTCATTGAAACCTAGTGTTGACATAAAGTTCATATACTGTTCAAGCGTATTAAATATTTCCAGATGCTTAAGTAGAAGATGTAATTCTTTGATAGACTTTTGAATATCATCGTCTGACAGTTGTTGGTGGTGCTGCCAATCGTCATCGCCATAGGAGTCTCGAGAGTTAATCCACATGACAATGACATCTTCGTTTTTACGCAATACTAAAGGCAATCGTTGCTGTTGATGTGACTTATGTGACTGTACTTCTAGAACCATAGAAAACTATAGAAAGTTTTCTCACTACTTTGTAAAAAATTAATTTTAAATATTCTACCTGTACTATGTTCAGATGGCAGTTCTGTGTTCTGATTAATTGCTACTTGTATATCACTTAGAGCATTATTATTAATATTTTCTTCCATTTACACTACGTTATGACATACAGTAAGTATCAAATTCTTTGGTGACGATTGACAGAAACACATTTCTTTTTTAAAAGGCAAAGTAAGTAAGAATAGTCAATAATATTTTTATTATGTATGAAACGTTCAAAGTAGAAAAAATATTTGCTCTTCACCTATATGTATTCACCCTCTATGTTTTTATAATGAAATGTACTCTTCTGTATTCATATATTCATCAGAAATTTTAAAGATTTAGAAGACAATAGAATATATTGCCTGTCGACCTGCAAAACATAATAAAATTAAAAAAATTTCGAATAAAAATTGATGATTTCTTTTTTCGAAATTACAAGTGGCCACGTTTTAAACTCAGTGAGCGTAAATATGACTGCCTTCTAAATCAAATGAGAGTCAACTTCTCTCGACTAAATTATAATCTTTTTCAAATTAGTTGAGTACTAGTAGCACAGTGGGCAGAAAAGCCATAGTATTCGGAATACTTGAAATGGTTGACATATTCAGTCGAGCTGATGGTTATAAGGGTTTTCAACTATGCTGAATCGATTGGCGATGGTTTTAGATTTCGTTCGTCACTACCCAGGAGAAAAAAGACGGACAATAAACTACTCAAAAAAAACTGCCAGTTGACAACATGTTAACTGTCTAAAAACCACCTAAAAACTGTCTGGTTTATTGACCATTTTCAGAGCTGCAAAAATACCGTCTAATAACTGCCCGTAAACAGAAAAGCCCCAAAACTGCTAGTTAACTTTGTGGTTAACGGCCCATTTACAGACAGTTAACTGGCTGTTTTTTGATCTTACCGTTTACTGGCCGTTTTTACACAGCAGTTTCTTAAGATCTAAAAACGACCAATAAATCAGACAGTTTCTAGATGACTTTTAGACAATTAACAAGTTGTAAACTGGCACCATTCCTTTTCTGTGGTAGTGAGTGGCCATAGGCTCGCTATATTTTTTTTTGAAAGAAAAAGCCAGTTAACTGGCTGTAAATAAGCTGTAAGTAGGTGGTTAAACGAAGCAGCTGAATTTTGATTTCTTCGAAGTTTTGAAGACTAGAAATCAAAGGTAAACCCATTTATCAGTTTGTTATATATGGAAAACAGTTCGGAAAGATTTTAAAGGAGAAAAGAGCCTTAGGAAGGTGCATTTCTGAGAATCTGTCTTTTTCTGCACTTAAAAAATTTCTATAAAAAAGTTAGAAAGAACACGAAAAGTTGATTTTATTAATGTAGATTAGGTCCAAAAATACTGTATTCGAAAAGCGCATCATTGAAAACTTATAAAACCGCGATTTTTGTTTGATGCATTTAGTATATTTTACAGGATTTATTCGTTTCTTTCCCATTTTTTCTCTTTAGTTGTCGACTTTGGTATTGTATGAGATACAGAAAAACAAAATTGGTATTCGGACTGCTGCTAAACGGTACTCTAAGTAACTAAAGGGTTTTTCATTTGAAAAAGGGTATTTCACCTTTGAAAATACCCTTAGAACGTATTTCATTTCCATTAAGATACCTAAAAGGATTTAGTAGGTCACGAGTGATTGGTATCCAAAGTACCAAAATGATTTTTGTTATCAAAATAAAATAGCTTTTTTATGAAATACCAAAACAGGTTTTGCAGGATGCCAAAAGGGTATTTTCATTCTTAAAATACGCTTTTGGTTCTGTAAGATACGGATAATCTTTTCAAAATACCCAGAACGATTTTTTAAATAGTGAAAATGGTATTACAGGATACCAAATTGGTTTTTCAGCTTTTCAAAAACCTTTTTTGGTTTTTAGGATACCGGTTCTTTGCTATCATTTTCAGCCCAGAATATTTTACACTTAGTTTTTACGCCTATTTTCAGCACCAAATGACTTTCTAGCCATGAATTAACCAAATAGATGCATTCGCAAACTTTTGGCAAACTTTATGGTATTAACTCGTCCTTGGATCTAATTCTCGTAGATTCTTAATACAAATACTTCTTTGTTTTAAGAACTTTTGAAAGAGCTGCGGGAAGTTTTGACGTTTTTTGAGTCTACCTTTCTGTTTGAACATTGAGAACCGATTAAATTCCGCTGAAAATTTTAAATTGTGCTATGAATTTACAATGGAAGAAGAATCTCCTCTTCGAAACGAACTTAGAAGTAGTTTGAAAATGTTTGAGATAGCGCGGACATTAAAGAAATAGTGCTGGAAAATCTGAAATACTGCCTGCTATTTGAAGAGAAAGTAATGTAAGAGCCATTGCACGTAAGCCACGACCGACGTTCTTCAATCGATATTCTCGAAACTTTTCCAAAGTAGGGGGCTTTTGTAGACCAAACATTTTAAGGAATTTTGGTAAAAGGCGCAAATCAAAAAGTTGTATCGTTGCTGAGATATTGATATTTTACGAAAAGCCCTGAAAA